TCATAAAGACAGCTACACAGTTAGACACATACCAGACATGAATGCACAAATATACTCAAATATGGACACATAAACTCTCACACACACACACACACACACACACACTTTCTCTCTTAATGAGCCTGGAGATACGGTGCAAACTGTTAATCGCTCACATGCATGGCTCAGCTTATGAATTTTAATTCCATAATTACAACATAATTAATGCAGAAGCCCGGTGTCTACATGAGTGCAAGTGTGGTATGCTGCAGTAATAAATCAATCACACAGCATAAGGGGAGCATGATTTCATTACGATGCCCTCTCTTGGCAAACAGTTGTGTATGCGCAGGGGGCTGCTTGGCAAGTCCATTACCAAACCTGTCCCTATAATTATGTTCACATGCATCATTAAGGCCTGGTCCTTTCTCCCCCTCTTCACTCTTAATAAATTACAACACTGTGTAATTCTGACTGGCCCTGGTCTTGCACCAACACCACTGTGATACATTACTGGAATGATGTGTCAGAGAGAAAAGACTGCCACTTGTTAGTGAGAACAAGTTGGAGAAAAGAGGAGTTAAAGAAGAAGAGAATCGACTTGGAAAAAAATGTGGTTCCACTGACTTACATTAAAAGTAAAGCAAGTTTCTTTTTCCTTTTCCTGTAAAGTTACCATTTTTGAGATTCGAGGTTTTGTTCCGACAAATATATATATATATATATATATGTATATATATATTATGGCAAGTCAAACAGGAAATATTTAATGAACATTGATATATATACAATGAACTTAGATATATATACAATAAACTTTGATATATATACAATGAACATTCATATACATGGAATGAACTTTGATATATACACAATGAACTTTGATATATATACAATGAACATTAATATATATTGAATGAACTTTGATATATATGGAATGAACATCATTATATCTTGAATGAAAGTCGCTGTTGAAGGGTTGAGGATGGCCAAGAAAAACTGTACATCGATAAATGGGCATTAACAAACTCCAGGTGGAGCTTAAAGGAAGGGAATTCTGATAAAGTGACCAGTATCTATACACAGTGATCCCGTGGACAGAGTGACCTGAGAGTGGCTGATATAGGATGTGAAGACACAGATGGGTGGAGCTTCAATATGTACATAATGTACATAACATGGTGCAGAAGAAGAGTCAGCTGAGGCCATAATTTCTGTTTGAAAAATGCTCTTTTATTGAGAGTGAGGGAAAACAATGCCACTTGAAAAGCAACTGAAAATTGAGGTAGGTCACTCCTAGCCCTACTCTTTCTTCTGAGGGTCACCAAACACAAACACACTCTCCCTAACTCTGAGCTAGACACAAAATCTCACAGTAAACACATACACACTGAAGAACAACAACATAGCAACTTTAAATAACAATGTAAATAGTCTGTTTGGGGGGGGGGTACAAGGCTACAAGACACACAACCCCAAAAGTCCCTCTCTGTCTAAACAATGAAACAATGAAAAATTTTTAAACAAAACATTTTATGAATTATATTATTCATTTTTTCATCTCAATGATCAATCCATGTACGTCAAAGTTCATTCAATATATATCAATGTTCACTCCATATATATCAAAGTTCATTCCATATATATGAATGTACATTCAATATATATCAATGTTCACTCCATATATATCAAAGTTCATTCCATATATATGAATGTACATTCAATATATATCAATGTTCATTCCATATATATCAATCTTTGTTCTACTGAGATATATTGAATGAAGATTGATATATATTGAATGAAAATTTATATATATTGAATGAACAATGATATATATGGAATGAACTTTGATATATATATACAATGAACTTTCATTGTACATATGTGTTTACTGTGAGATTTTGTGTCTAGCTCAGAGTTAGGGAGAGTGTGTTTGTGTTTGGTGACCCTCAGAAGAAAGAGTAGGGCTAGGAGTGACCTACCTCAATTTTCAGTTGCTTTTCAAGTGGCATTGTTTTCCCTCACTCTCAATAAAAGAGCATTTTTCAAACAGAAATTATGGCCTCATCTGACTCTTCTTCTGCACCATGTCAAATTATGTACATATTGAAGCTCCACCCATCTGTGTCTTCACATCCTATATCAGCCACTCTCAGGTCACTCTGTCCACAGGATCACTGTGTATAGATACTGGTCACTTTATCAGAATTCCCTTCCTTTAAGCTCCACCTGGAGTTTGTTAATGCCCATTTATTGATGTACAGTTTTTCGTGGCCATCCTCAACCCTTCAACAGCGACTTTCATTCAATATATATCAATGTTCATTCCATATATATCAAAGTTCATTAAATATTTCCTGTTTGGCTTGCCATAATATATATATATATATATATATATATATATATATATATATATATATATATATATATATGTGTGTGTGTATGTGTGTGTGTGTCAACAACAATTCTTCCATAAGATAGTTAGTGTTTTCATGATGATCGTGGTCAGAGCTGTCTAATGTCTCCATACTGGTTAAGATCTGGTGATTGTGAAATCCATAACATGATTTACAGAATTTTCATACTCATTCAACAATTCAGAAACCCTGTGGATGGAAGCACTATCATCCTGGAAGAGAGCACTCTCATTAAGATAAAATATTTTATCATACGATAAAGGTGATCAGTTAGAAGAACTTTGTATAGGTTTGCAGTGACTCTTCCCTGTGAAGAAAACAAGTACACCCAAACGATGCCAGCAAAATCCCCCACACAGCATAACAGAGCCACCGGACTTCCTCACTGTAGGGATTAAGCGTTCAGTCTTGTGTTGTTTTCTTGGTGTGCGCCACACACACACTCGCTCACTTTTTCGGAAGCATTTCCTTGCATATTGCACTAATGCATGAGCACTATGGACACTGAACTTTCAACCACAATTTCCAACCCAATTTACTGATGTTTTTCCCATAAATCTAAATGCAGATGTCAGTTTAGTCACTGTTGCTGTTGAAACACAAGCCTCTTGAGTGGTCTTAGTGTCCCAATAATGAACCCTCTTTCAAAGTTACTTAGATCTTTTCCTCTTTCCATCTTGATGCAAAATCAAGGCCAGTTGAGCCTGCTTATCATTTTTTTACCTGCCATGAGCATAGTAGGGCGTTAATCGCTTAATTATATCATGCATGTATTCCTGTATGGAAGCACCTGCTTCTTTATGTTTCTCCACTCATTTAGTCAAGTTTTAATTCCTCACCTGTCTGTATATTCTTGCTCTGCTCTGCTTCAAAAATAAATATTTTTTCTTTAGGGACGCATTGATATGGAGCAGGAGTACAAGTACCCATTTTTAGTACTCACCGTTATTGGGCCCGATACCATACTGACTAACCTACTTAGAATTAAGCAGTTGTTAATGTAAATGAGGGCAAAGTACCTTAACAGTTAAACAGCTAAAATGTAGCTGATTTGACGTGCATAGCTAGCTATGCTACATTAGTTACCTTGGATTGAGTAGTGCTGCAGTGGAGAAGAGCAGGTTTAGTTCCTCGTGAGAAAAACGCTTCTGTACAGCTCTAAATAAAGTACATTTCATAGGTTGCATTGGTTCTGTCTGTCTCTTTCAACATCAGTCTCTATAGCAAAGTGACAGCAGGAATCACATCCGAGGCTGAAGCTTCTGAAGATCTCACTGGTGGAGTTGTACGTCTGAAGTCTTTTGGCTGGTTGAGATGAGTGTCCTCTAATTCCAGACAAACACTGTGCGATTTTAGAAATCTTGCTCTTTGGTGACACACACTGAACGTTTGAATAGTCCATCACGTATGGACAACACCTACGATTTATATACTCACACTGTACGAAAATGCTTAGTCCATGCTACATGAAACACAGCCTACACCAACAGCTCTGTCTGTGAACTATTTCAAATAAAGCTGTTCCATTCAAAACAACATGCTCTGTGCCGAGTGCTAGGCAAAGACAAACTAAGCAGAGCTGCTAACACTGTGCACTGAAGCTAAAAGCAGGCGGTGATGTACACGGTAGGACGATATGGTCTCTATACAGCCTATTTTACAAAAAAATCAATGTATTAATGTTTTTACCTCGCTATTCTATTCAGTCAAACAGAGTGAAGTTGGCATATATAGACTTGGGTGAGAAATGTCTCCTACCGTAGTGGGGAAGCGGCTGTGATTGTGTGTTTAAAATGGGCTAAAATAACACAGTGTAGGTCTGGCAGGAATCTGCCAGGGCGATTAGTTTAAAGTGACCGATGGCTTTGTGTCCGACCTCCACAGAGTCAAACTTCTCTGTGTGAGCAAAGCCTTCTGCACTGTGTTTGTTCATTAGCGTGGCAGTGTGCACTCGGCTTACGTCACACGGTATCAGCGGGTGTCGGAATGTTGGTACTGGTGAATTTTTATGAGTATGTTTCCACTTTTTGGTTAAATGGCTGAATAATCACAAACATTCTGGCAGATGTGCTCAGCTTGCTTCTGACTGATGCAGCAGAGGACTTTCACCTGTCTCTGAGAACGGTTTAATAGAACGCAGAAATGGATGAACCTGCAGCTTTTCAGACATGTCCTTAAAGTAGGACCTCTGCATTTCTTCATACTGACTCACCCTTCAAGGCTTCTTCTGTTGAGACAGCAAATGCTCTATCATCTCTTTGTCAGACCATGTAATCTATCCAGTTTCTGAAATGCCTTGTGTCAACAGTGTTCAACAAACATAGAAAAGGCTGAATACCACAAACCTGCATGGTGCATACCTCATCAGATTCAAATTCAGACCACCTTCCCGTCTATTTAAAGGTTTTCTGACAGGTGCTTTTGAGGACACCAACTTTTCAAAGAAAATACTCCACAATATGAAGGAAACTAATTCTTAATAACTTCAATAAAAAAATGATATTAATTTCATGTCACATTACCAAACAGCAATAATAGAGCAGCTTAGCTGATACAGAAAGAGCAGAAAGAGCCACAGTGTATTTAGTAACTTTCACCTACCGGTTTCCCGAGAGATCTGAACGAAGGCCTCCACACCGCTTTCTCCATAGTTTCCCTCAGAGGCAAGCGTGGAGACGTAGTTCCAGCCCATGGCTGTGACAATGTCCAACATTGCCTGAGCCTGGTAGGAGTCAGGTGGCACCACTCGGGAGAAGAAGTCATAGCGGGTGTTGTCACTCAGCTCCGGTGCAGTTGATGCATAGCTAATCTGAGGGATCTGTGAAGGAGAAAAAAAGAGTTCTAAGAACCATAAACTAAGATTCAGGGGTCCACTGCCAAAAGAATAATGAAGTGAGAGTGGTCCAAATAAGAGATTTCTTTCAAATATGATTACTCAGTCTTTAAAGAACTCAGTATTAGATGAATAGTTTGCTCTCCTATATACCTTTTTATGAGAACTAACAACAAACAAACAACAAAGAAAAAACAATGCAAGGCTTCACAGCATGTGGATGTTTGAACTGGGATTAAACTGGGAGATGTGCTCAGGTAATGGTGAACCTTGGTGAACTGCTGCAGGTGCCAGTATTTGAAATCACTACTCGGATATATGTTACACTACATTACAGGGTGAAAATATGGAGGTCAATAATTCAGTGGAACACCAAATTTGTTTTATTATTTCAACAACTTTATTTAAAGCTACACTATGTAAGATTTAGAGATTTGGACAAGTCTCTGGTGGAAAAGTGTAACTGCATGCAACGTGTGGAAGAACATTTTAAAACGTTAGGTGCACTTTGTAGCCCTTCCCCACGCGGATGAATTTAACTTATGCGAGCGTGTCAAAAGAGTATCCAAAGAGAACTTGAAGAAGGGGATGTCTTCTGAGGATGTAAGTGAATTGTCTACTACTGTGAACGTATCTTCATCAGTTTAATGTTAATATAGCATTTCAGACCCAAACATCAAGCCAGACCATCTTTTTGAGTCTGTGCTTGTGACAATAATATGTAAAGACTTTAAAATGATAATTGCAGGCTTATGGCTCACGGCAGCGCATGGACACCATATTTTAATGTGTTTTTTCCTTCTGACTCATTAGTGCTACCTTTTTCAACTTTAACAACTTAGACAGTGCTGCTAGTTTTTAATATGTTCATTGTGACTAAAGTCTTTTTTTCTTCCCCACAGGTAACAGTACTCAAATATCAAAATTATTTTGGGTAATTTCACAGACTTTGCTGTTAGTGATCCAGTGCCAAAAGAACAATGAAGGGAGATCAGTCCAAATAAAAGTTCTCCATCAGATACAATTACTCAGTCTTTAAAGAAATTTACAAGGGCTTGAGAAAAATTACATTTACTGTCACATATTCTTTATCAGAACCAAATAACAACGCAGGTTTTCACAGCACATGTATGTTTATGTTGGGATTATGTTGGGATTGAGCAGGTAATTAAATACTAACTAGTGCAGGTGCCAATATTCAAATACTGAAATCACCATGAAAATATGCACGCCGATAATTCAGTGGAACATCATTATTTATTTATTTATCAATTGCGTCCTTTTTGTACTTCCTCATAGGTTTCAACAGTTTGTTAATTAACTCTTACAGATACCCAAATACCACAGTTAGTCAGAGTGTGTATGCCTTAGTTTAGGTATATTCAAAAACATCAATTCATTAGATACTTATGGTTTACCAGCAGCAGGTATGAGAGCAAAGAGATGTGGGAGGTGGGGGGCTCTGGCCGGCAGAGAGGCAAGCTGGATAATGGCTCTTTGGAGGCAATTGACGGTCTGATTGATTTCTCCTCAGCCAAAAGGCCAGGCTGTCGGCCAGAGCCCCAGAGGCTGAGCTCATCGGCATTCGGTGCAAGAGACAGACAGAGAACCTGCCAGCAATACAAATGCCATTCACCGCCCGGCCGCTCAGGTACATCGCTGCTCTCTCACCCTCCACCATAAAATTGCAAGCTTTTAAATACAAATACCACAGATGACTGAATCAGCCTGTGAACTGTCAAGCATGTGTGCATACATGTGTGTGAGAATAAGGGTGGAATGGAAGGAGCTGGCATGCGTGAGCAGAAGGCTCAGTTCTACTGACATTGTTGCTAATTAAACATGTTAACACCAGAGTTCACATAGCAGATCTATCACACAATTTAGAGTCATGAGGAGGGGGATATTTGACAGGTTGTGAGATTGTGTACATTTAATGCAGGCGGTATCTGAAGTGTTTGGTCCAAGGGAAATTATAGTTGCTTCTTTCCATCAAATGAAATTCTAATTTGAATGTAAAGAAATGAATCAGTACTCAGTGGCAGTGCCTGTCAAAGAGGCTGTCAAGCTCGATAAATTACTTCTTATCTAAAAGAGCATGTCTAAGCTTATGTGAGTGATCACTGAAATCTGCATTATTTTGGAATAAATTCTCAAGGACATTAGAGGTTTTTAGTGTAAGTAATAACAGTGACAAATAAATCTTAAACCACAAGCAAAATAAAGCTTTTGATTTGTCTACAGTAACAAGCTTATTGTATATGGCCCAATAATGCAACAATGCACACTAATTGCGATATGCAATGCAGGGCCAATTACAGTAGGACAGAATATGATCTGAAAAATAAGCCGATTGTTAGCAGCTGTGCAGATGAGAGAGCCACTTGACTGTCTGCGGTTTGGCTTCTCCAGGACTGCAGAGAGCACGAGCGATAAATCATGAACTAATTCTGCACTGCTACCGTGGTCATCCAGATGTCTTCACTCTGGGTGGTAGACAATGAGTGGGGATGTTGGGATTGGGATGTGAAAGGGTGCCTCCAGATGGTTTTCACGTTTTCACAGCTTACAACGCAAGGCTGTAGTCAAGCAGTATGTACAGGCTATCAATCATTTATTTCTCCATAGCAATTCTTTTAAGTTTATGCTCATTTGAAAATTTAGGCCGCATTAACTTGAATAATGTTCCAAATTCTTTGTTTACCTGTTATCTCTTGTGTGAGCTCAATCATGCTCACAGGCCTTTGTGTTTGGCTCCATAATGGAGCTGTCAAATGTAGAAAAGCAACTCACTACTGATAGATTACATTACGACAGTACTAATTAACCTCTCAGGCAACCTTTATTTAAAATACTTCCTCCACGAGGGGTGGACACAAATTGCTGTGCAAGAGAGAGATGTTTGTACTCAGTCTTTCAGTCTTTCACTGTTTTCCCTCCTTTTTTCCCTTTATTTGACAAATGTGCCTCGTACACACAAACACGCGTCTTCTTGACTACTCACATTTCCACACCAACTGCAGCAGTGAATGAGATTATGATACTGAGATGCTCTTATGCAGGCATTGAGCAAAATCTCTACTTTTCTCTTTGCTTCTTTATTCTATATTTGTTCGCAGTGTTACTTTCTATCATATATCATAGTCTTGATTCCTGCTTTGATGAATTCCACATGACTCATGAATACTGAATTTGAGATCTAATGTGGAACTGAGAATATACTGAGTCTGATTGCTAGCTCTTTGTAGAACAAAGAATACTCAGAGCAACTGGTTTGCTTGCATTTGTCCTCAAAAGGTGTGCTGAGCCTTTCTATTAGGGCTGCTCAATATATCATCTCCAATATATATCATTATCACGATGTCGGCCTTCGCAATCAGGGGCGTTTCATCCATTAGGGGCACTGTTGTTACCAGGAGTGAAAAGAAAGAAACTTTTTCTACAATATATAAAATTTTGGCTGATATATGTCTGTGAAACTGGCTGGAGGGTCTAAACAAAATGAATGGCAATTTATAAATCATACTTACAACGGCTAGAGGCTGTCAGGTGCCATATTCTCTGTCTGTGCTGCAGGGTGCCTGTCAGCACCCCTGTGGAGGGAGGGATTTCTGATTGTCAGTCGGTTTCAGTGGACTGTCAAATTAGCAAATGAGCAGTGTAGGAAAGTACTGGTTCATGGTGCTGGAGAAAACGCACTTGACCAATCAAGTGGTGGCTGCTATACAATAAGAAGATGCTGTTTTACAATGATTGGCCATATGTTTTTCAATTCAAAGAGCCAGGTTTAGTAAGCATGGCTAATGTAACATAACCTGCTAATACAGATAAGGCACTAATATTAAATCCATTTTAACACTTGTTAAAAAAGTAAATGTTAGGCGAATTCATGTATAAATGCTACAGATCCAGCTTTAATGAGTATACCCTCAGGGGTTTTTCTAATTGTTTGCTATTTTGCTATTTTTCTGATTGTTTATCTATGTTCCCTTGTTTTACCAGTCTGCGGTATGTATTTTGATTGTTCACATTGTTGTGACCTTTCAACTACATCGCTACAGATCTGTATGTATTGGCACATCATTATACTACCTTCTCTTTTTTATCTTAGTATATTGCAATGTGTATCAGAATTAATATATTAACCAATTTAATACACAAATAATATTTTATACATAAATAAAACGATAGATAAATAAATAATATACAACATATAAACTGTTTCCCATATTTGGGTTATTTAGATCTTTAATACTGTTCATGTAACATACAGAAAATGCAGCATTGAACCAGTGCTTTCCTACACTGCCATGAACCAGTACTTTCATACACTGCTCAGAAAATGACAGCATTTTCTGTGGGAAAAGCACATAGAAAGGTGATACTTGCATTGTTTTTCTTCTATAGCTTGTGCTTGAGATTCAGTCACTGATGTTCGGCTTTGGTAAACAAGGTAAAATATCAAAAGCTGAAGTGAACAACTACTGTTCTTATCCTCACAATGAAATAACAAGTAAATGTGGTGGCATCAGTCACGTGATCATTCAGAACCATCAATTATGTAAACTTCCCACAAATCAGAATGACAGCTTTGTGGTCAAGTCCATCACAGATAAGAAACAGCCATAGCCACTGCTTAGAAAGTCAGTCTTTCTGAAGAGTTTTGAAAGTAATTCTTGTTCAGCCGAGGACTGCACCTCGCAAACACACTCCATGTGTGAACTGCCGTTTGTGTGCCATTTTCAGCTTCACACCTCTGTTTGAAAGCGCATGCTCTCCAGAGACTGCTGTCTGAGTTGAAGTGTGGAAGCATGCTTTTGGTGCTGTCTATGTCTCTCACCCTCAGTTCAGAGGGGAAACTTTGCACCTGCATTCAGCGTCTGCTAACTGAGCCATGTTAAGTGTGGTTCAGTTGGGATAATTTTGGACAATTTGTGAGTATGTTAAAAAAAAAAAATGACGCAAGCACTGATGTGAGTGGAGTT